CTAACTTTTTTTTTATGTTGATAATCATTTGTATTGACTTATGCCCTTGTAATTAATGGAAAAATGTCCTTTTCAGATTTTTAGGGGCCTGGCTTATATCCATGCTGTTCCTGGGGTATGCCATAGAGATGTGAAGCCTCAGAATCTTTTGGTACATGTTCTTTGTTTATTTTTTTTCTTTCATTGCCCAATGTGAATTAGATTGTTTATGTTATTTTCACGTACACTTGGCAGGTTGATCCCCTCACGCACCAAGTTAAGCTTTGTGACTATGGAAGTGCAAAAGTTCTGGTATGGTGTCCTCTTCACTATTTTCCCATAGTTCTGCTAATCTGAGTATAAGACTGGCTATACATCAGTCATCTATTTATCCGGAGGCTTCATGTTAATGCAGTTGGGAAGTTGGTAACTAAATCAGTTTCCTTGAATAATTTCTGTTTTAATGATTTTCTTTGTAATCAGGTCAAGGGGGAAGCAAACATATCATACATATGTTCTCGTTACTATCGGGCTCCTGAACTCATCTTTGGTGCGACAGAATATACAACATCCATTGACATCTGGTCAGCTGGTTGTGTCCTTGCTGAGCTCCTTCTAGGCCAGGTTATCTACTTCTTTGGGAGCAAAGTTCTTATTCTTGGCCTAAGTTAACTTTTGGGTGAAACTGTTTGTACGGTTTGACTTATAAACAATTTCAAACTGTTATACAGCCACTATTTCCAGGAGAGAATGCAGTGGACCAACTTGTAGAGATTATCAAGGTCGTGTTTCATTATCTTTATTGAATTAGATGGATCATGCAAGTGTGTGTTCTTACTATTTATGTGTCTTCTTGCAGGTTCTTGGCACTCCAACTAGAGAAGAGATTCGATGCATGAATCCAAATTACACTGATTTTAGGTTCCCTCAGATTAAAGCTCATCCTTGGCATAAGGTATGAATTTAGATAACCCTTCAAATAAGTTGATTGTTAAGGCGGTGCTTGTAGAGGAGGATGTTAGTACGCAGTGTAGACATACGCATACATGTCTCTATGTTCTGGACATGGTGAAACCTTTTGTTCAAAATTTGAGTTGGGTTGATTGTTAGCATTTATGTAAACTAAATTGGTTTTGGGAGTATGGTGTTTGCTGTGCTTTGGCTGGTTTAGCAGGAACGAAATAGAAGAATCTTTGATATTGTGAAGGAGTGAGTGTGGAGAAACTATGGGAAATATTCGTTTATGGTCCTTTCTTTCGGATTTGGTTGTGATGGAATTCAAGGAGCTTTTGTTTCGTTCTGTTTTTTATTCATTTAATTTTAATTGGAAGGCGGTTGTGAGTTGATGTTAAAGTTGATTCTTTCTTGGGTCTGTAGTATAGTAGCAGTTGTCATCGTTGGCTATCATGAGTGGCCTTAAAATGCAATTTCTTTAAGTAAATGAGTTTTTAGTTTCATCTCTGTCGCTGTGAAGTGCTTCTCCACAAAATGCAATTTCTTTAAGTACAATTTTGTTTCTGTGGTTCTTTCCTTTTATTTCTTGAACATATTCTTGTTCTTGAATTGTCCATATTTGCCTGTGCTGACTAAAAAATTATTAGTTATAACAGACTGTAGGGATTTAATTACTGTTATCTGTGCGGTTATTTTCGTTTTGCATCAATCCTATAGTTATGCATCTGTGACGTGCTCCTCTATTCAGGTTTTCCACAAGAGAATGCCTCCCGAAGCAATTGACCTTGCTTCACGACTTCTTCAATATTCACCGAGTCTACGCTGCACTGCGGTGAGTTGGACTTCTATTCACTTGGAGTTCTACTGTTTCAAAGCCAAGACATCATGCTCTGTGATGTGATTAAAATAAGATTTGAAAAGAGTTCCCTTGGTTTGGCAGCTTCCATTTATGTGCTGAGTTGCAACTTTTGCACTTGGCTCTTGGAATTGAATAATTTGTCAGTCGATTTTGAGTTGTTTCACTTCATGATATGTTCTAATATCTGAATTTTCACTGATCGTCCGTTTACAGCTAGAGGCATGCACACATCCTTTCTTTGACGATCTCCGTGAGCCCAATGCTCGCCTACCAAATGGTCGCCCGTTGCCGCCACTTTTCAACTTCAAACAAGAAGTGAGTTTCAGATTCATTTACTTTTACCTGTTAAAATGATGAAATATAGAAATATGTCAGTCTCAACTATATATATTCGTTGCTTGTTCATCGTGGTAACTTGCCCAGAAAACAATTCCACCGATTCAGATATTCTGCGCCTTTCAGCACTTGAACGTGCATGTCTGGTTGAATCAGTCCTGAATATATGAAATTTCTTCAAATTTTCTCCATACATTTAGTTGGGTTGCATAATCTGGAAGAATTGAGTAGGACCTTTTGAGTGGTTGGAAATTTGTGAGGCACCAACTCTATGAACATGACATATATGTTTTGTCTTGTCCCTTCATTACTATCCACAAGTTCAAATGAAAATTTTCTTAGCAATCCCATTTTCTAGTCTGCTCCTGCAAGTTTTAATTGACTCGTGCCTCCCACCGTGCTCCAAAATTGACTTGCAGTTAAACGGAGTATCACCTGAATTGATCAAGAGGCTCATACCAGAGCATGTGCGGCAGCAGGCTGGACTTGGATTCCCACAACCAGTCAGAACTTAAACGTAAAGTGATGAAACAAGGAATTATCTTTTGTACTAGTGGACGGATGTGAAGCAAAAGAGGGCCTCTTTGTGGTCTATATATAACTGAGCATTTTGGCCTAATCTGCTGTTCTCGCCTTCCAAAGATATACATACACAATGGCTCTCTGGCTTAACCTGGAAGTCGTCGATCATATCTACCGTCATGTTAGCCTAAACATACCGTCTTCTTGCGTCTGTACATCATTTTGATTGTAAGGATTCCAGAAAGCCAAAGGCACAAGGTAATGTTATCCAAATCTAGCTAGTAGTGGATGTAAAAAGTCCAGCAGGAGCCCGAGGGGCGAAATAGTAGTGCGGCATGTGTTTTACTTTTATTATCTGTGTTGTATCTACTGTCTGGTTGCGGTATCGTCTCAAATTATATCTTTACTATTGATTACTGTCTCCTCCAACACTGCAGTTGTGGATAATTTCAAATCTATGTTGTTTGACAGCCAGAGCTTTGAGCTTCATCGTGTAATTGAATATTCTTGCTTGGTATTTTTCTACTCGGTTATTTTTCCTTGAGGATGTAATAATACTCCGAAAACTTTGATTTTATTTCTTAATTAAGGCAAAACAAAACAACAAATTTGCCTCCCAAGGTTTGTATAATAAATTCAAAATAAAAGTAAATAAGTGAGCAAAACCTGCAACGATTTGAACCTAAATGGGAACGTAAATCTAATGTGGATGATTTGAGCCGTCTGTATTTTAGGTACTCTTTCAAAGGTCAAGTCTGTGAAGCTTCAATTTCAAAATTGTTTGGTCACCTAAAATGGCCAAGAAAAAGGGTTCATGATTTATATAGTATACAAGTTAGAATTAAAAATGGATGATCGAACTGCTAAAAATCACAAATTGAGTCAATTTATTTGCCTGAATAAATAAAGGGAGTTTTTATTGCCACTCCAAAATTCTTATTTTTGCATTTATATAATTAGAAAGAAAAATACGCTTACAAAGAGTATAGAATAAAAATTTTAGAGTACTAATAACAATTCCTTAAAATAAAATCTAAAATTTAAAGGGTTCTAATGATTATTGAATAACACCTGAAAATAAGGAGTATGCCATATCCACTCACAGGGAGAAAAGCTTGCGGTTGCATTTGGGCTCCTGAAGCTTCCTCCGGAGTGAAAGCATAATGGGAAGATGATTCACATTGTTTGTTGCTAAAATTGGCCAGCTTCACTCATTTGGGCCTAAAGTCAAATTATGACATTTTGTGGGTGGGGTTGTTGTGAAATTAGGCTAAACTTACATCAAGTGGCACATGTTTCGCTTATAAAAATTTAAGTGGCCACCATTATATATGATATATGTTTGTAAATATTTTTCATACAAGTGAGGTTTGGAAGGTGGAATGCATCAAGTGACTTCTTTTAATATCATTTTATAAGGATGTGGATAAAGGACACTATATGTCCAAGGTCCAACATTGAAATAATTTCAAAGGTTTTTCTTGACTTTGTCCATGTTAACACAATTTGAAATGCCTCAACTTTTTTAGAACAGGTCATAGGGTTTAGTTGAAATGGCTCGACTTTTTTAGAACGGGTCATACTAACACACCTCGCCCGAAATCAAGCCATGTGCACAGTGCAGAAGCAATAATAATAATAGAAATGCGAATAAATAAAAACCAAACTAACTAGAGCACTAAATAAAATAAGGTGCAAGACGAAATAAGTGTGAATTCACAACCAGAGCATAAGTAGCCTAGATGCAGTCCAACAGGACAAATACTAATTATACAATACCAAAGGTAATCCTACAATGGTGATAATCTGTCAGAGCTGCCGTAGATTCCTCGCAAGCCACCAAAAGCACTCCTAACTAGAACCTAGAGGGGCGCAAAATAGAAAGTGTGAGTGGGCAAAAACAAAAATGTCTTACGTCTATGACATCCTTTACATAACTGCTAAATGATTGATCGCGCAGTTAATATTCAGTCTTGGGTTTATATGGCAGATAGAACAAAAGAAACACGTAGCTTCTAGTTCCATTAAGATTGCAGTAACAGCCACTAGGCAGTAGGACTAAAACTACCAAATTAAATAGTCTGTATTTAGAAACAGACAATTACCTAAGACATCCTACTCTCTGACCATAGAGTCCCATGTTTTTGGCATATGATTGTGCAATCCCAATTAGATGACCATCCTCAAGGAAAATCCTGATGGCTTTTGCGTCTCTCTCAGGGTCACCACTAGCAAAACCTTGATATGCCATGTCAAAGAAGGGGAAATGTCCCTTTTCCTGGATCAACCAAGTAGCGGCAGTTATTAGAGGTAGAAAAAGAAAAAACTTAAAGGAAAATATTATGAGATATTTACCTTGATCTGTTTTGGGATCTCTTTCCACTGTTCCTCAGAAGGATCCACTCCAGTGGGATTGTGAGCGCACGCATGAAGTAGAAAGAACAAGCTGTTTGGAGCATTCTGCACAAAACATCCATGCGAAGTGGCAGAAGAAGAAACAGGGTGTCAATGAAGAGAATGATACTATAGGGTAAAGAGTACAAGCAAATTATATCTACCGGGTTAGTAGCGGAAATAATTATTTTTAAACAAGAACATAGGTGGAATAATGTAAAGGTAAAACAACCTAGTTTGAAAAGAAGAATATGTTTCCCTTTACCCTTATGTTATTTATCAGTCCTGCAAAGTCCAACCCCTTACTTTCTGGAAGATAGTAATGGAAAGTCTTCTGGGGGACATGAGCATCTCTCCAGATGTTATGATGGCTGTTGATATTTCATTTAAGAAGCCCACGTTCATCATAAACTGTTAAGTGTTACAATGGAGGGGAGTGGGAGAATTTTAAGCATTAAAAATTCTAAACAATTCTCACTTGGCCCATGGAGGAACTGGTATATAGATTTGAGACTCAGTGCGAAAACGCTTTTGAAAGTCTGCACGGCATGCACCCGTTCCAGAGAGAGCTTGCATTGCTGCTATCCTTTTATCTTTAATGTGCTCCGAATTCTCCCCATATGCTAGCTTCAATGTGTCTTCCACCATCTTCACACTTCCCCCCATAGGAAGATATTCCCTGGTGAAAACAAACCAATTGTATGAGGAGAAAAATTAACTTGTCACTTGTCCTTTCTACTTTCCGCAAAAGTTCCCACATTAACTTATCTGGCACAAGTGCTTTTTGAAGTACAAGAAAAATTTCAGTTTAGGGTGTCTATGAACAAGAAGAAACCCCAACCCAGTTCAAGAATATATAAGCCTGTGGAAAGTCAACAATTGGAGGAAACCAGAATATCCTCCAACCCAGTTCAAGATCAAAGCTGTGGAAAGTTAACAAGCGCAATAAAATACGTGCCGATTCATCCACTACCAAAGCCAAAGATCATCTACCACATGAAGCTCGTTGTGGTCCAATCTCATTCAAGATCAAACATTGATGGCCCTTGAAGAAATTTCAAACAAAATTCAAGAACAAGCCTCAACAGCACTTGAAGAAAACTTCTAGCCCAATTCAAGATCAAGCCGGCCATTAAAGAAATTTCCAGTCCATTTCAGGATCAAACCTTAAAGGCCTTTGGATCGACATCTACATTAAGGGACTTCAAAACGCATCTCCTACATATGACAAGCGCATGTATACGACGCGCCTTGAAGTGGGGCATTTGTAGACATCGAAATTTCAGTAAAATAAATGTTGACCAATGCATTAAAATTACAACATCCATTCATTTCTTCTACATCATACACTTACTTCACCTATAACCTCCACTCATTTCACTTACATCATCCACTTACTTCACCAAAAAAAAGGATGGTGGTGATTCATTCTCAAAGTCTATAAATAAGCTTCTCCATCAAGGGATCAAGGAGGAATTGACATATACATTTCTCTACTCCCAAATTGGAAGAGAATTTTCCAAATCCTTGAAGCTTTGAAACTCTAAAAGCTTTCAAGCATCCAACCTCCCAAATTCCCAAGAATCCCGAAGGATGAAGAAAGCTCTTTTTGTTCTTCGTCAAATCCTTGAAGAAATCCACACAGTTGTTCATCAAGATCAAGCCCCGAAAGCCCTTGAAGATCCGTTCATCCTTGTTCATCAAGATCAAGCCTAACGGCCCTTGAAGAAATCCACACAACTGTTCATCAAGACCAAGCTAGAAAGCCCTTGAAGATCTGTTCATCATCGTTTATCCTAAGATCAAGCCTGATGGCCCTTTAGATCAACAACATCAACAAATATGCACTACTGTTCATTCCTAGAGTAAGGCCTGACGGCCCTTTGGATCAACAACTTATTCGCAAATTTACACCTTACGAAGATAGAATCAGATCAAATTGTAAAAGAGATTGTAACTCTAAAATTAATACAAAATATATTTTGCACAAAGTGGGTCCATATTGACACATGGCGCCTAATAATTGTCTATGTGGAAGCCACATCATCAATTAACAGAAGTTCTAACGGAAAACTTAACAGATATATGAGATTGTCCCAAAATTAACACTTTAAGTATAACTTTGGGATAAAAAAACTTTATATACCAAATATTAAAAATCAAGAAACTTTAATAGTAGTAAATTGATATTTATCCAAAAAAAAATACACTCCCATCAAAAACCCTAGCTCTAGCAAGTTTGGTAATCGTGAGTTGGTTTTTGTGGGGTGTGGAAATGCAGGCTGAAGAGAAAAAGTTAGCGAACCCTATGAGGGAGATCAAGGTCCAGAAGCTGGTCCTCAACATCTCAGTCGGTGAGAGCGGAGATCGACTCACGAGAGCCGCCAAGGTACCCCTATTGCTAACCTCACCACCCATCCCACACAAATCCTGTACTACTTACTCATAGTATATGAATGTATATGTACTGTTATAATTGTTTAATTGGTTTCTTGTTTTTTTTTTATTTGTTTTTGTTTTTCGTTTGAAGGTGTTGGAGCAACTCAGTGGCCAAACACCCGTTTTCTCCAAAGGTAATTTTTTTACCCGTTTGACTTTTATTGGTAATTCAGTTTTGCATCGTTTTATCTGTCTGCAGCTAGAAATTTGTATGCTTTTCATGTGTTCTGGGATTGGGGTTTCTCATTATTTAGATATGGAGAATCTTTATGTTTCACTCTGTTGACTACTGGTTTTTTGACGTGTTTTCGGAATTGAAATTGACTTTGAGTGCAATATATGAGTTTTCTAATTTTATCTGTATTGTGGATTCGTGGGATAGTTTTTGCGTATGATCTTATCCTCTGTGTTAAATCAGTATGTCTACATTTTTGCTTTTTGATTGCTTCAGCAGTTGAGCAATTTTGTCTACAATGCTTCAAAGGGCCGAAAATTGAACTGAGTGTGGACTTCGTTCTGTTTCTGTGCTTTTTGCCCTTCTAGTTAGATGTGTTTAAGGTATTGGATAATGACTTAGTTGTTAAGGAGTACAGCGGTTTGACGTAAGTCTGGTTAAATTTGCCTGGTACGAAATATTTTTGCTTATAGACCAGCCTCTTCCATTTTTTGCTTTATGGAATTATGTATTTTGAATGTATGAATTTTTTTAGTTTTCTTTTTCCACAACATATTGGATGGTAATTGTTCATTTGGTTTCTGATTATTTGTTGTATATTTTCATCTATTTCATACCATATACATATGTGATTTTCTAATTTGCTATATCAGCGAGGTACACTGTTCGATCCTTTGGCATCAGGCGTAATGAGAAGATTGCATGTTACGTCACTGTCAGGGGTGACAAGGCGATGCAACTTTTGGAGAGCGGTTTGAAGGTCAAGGAATATGAGTTGCTACGAAGGAACTTCAGTGACACTGGTTGTTTTGGATTTGGAATCCAGGAGCACATTGATTTGGGAATCAAGTAAGCCGTTTTATTCCGCTATACTTGTTCCTCCATTTATTTACTCTTTTAAATCTGAGTCATTGGTCCCTTTATTATCTTACTACAAGTTAGTGTAATTTGAAAGTACTTTTTTCCTAATTGCAAAATTTCATAATTTTCGTCAAAGGCAACCGATATTGATATAACCATCAAAATTTTCATAAATTTGCATATCGATATTTCCACCAATATCGAAATCACTGATAGAAACTTTGGGTGAATTTGATTTTTGTTTTCAGACATCCCATTTAACTTATTAGTTATCGTTGCCCAGTATTGTGGACTCTTTGGTGCTTTTCCTGTTTCATTTATCCAGTGGGATGTTTCTATCATGATATGTTGACTTTTCGTTCTTATTCAGTCCGTTGTTTCCTCATTCCTCTTTATTTATTTTCTTTCAGGTACGATCCTTCTACAGGTATCTATGGAATGGACTTTTACGTTGTTCTGGAGCGTCCGGGTTACCGTGTGGGTCGACGTCGCAGGTGCAAGTCTCGCGTCGGGATCCAGCACAGGGTCACAAAGGATGATGCCATGAAATGGTTCCAGGTCAAGTATGAGGGAGTGATTCTTAACAAGTCGCAGCAGCTCTCAGCTTCGTAGGCCCTTAGGATCATCAAATTAATTTGATCAGTCTCTATGACCGGCATCTGTTCATTTTCAGTTTTGCAAAGCTCGAGTTAGCGTTTGGACCGAAGTATGTTAATTTGTTTTTTGACTTGTAAAGCTTTTGGAAGTTTATATCATTAGGGCTTGAGTTGCCTGGAATTTTGGTTTCTTTGATTCATACTTGTCGCAACACAAGGGAGAATTGAAACCTCACAGCATGAATGATGCGTTAATCTTGATTTCTGTTGTGCCCTATATTTTTCAGACATGAAATCACGTTGTGACTCGGAGTGTGACATTGCGGTTCGGGTTTAAAACGATCGTCTCCTTAGAAATCAAGGATACATAGGTACAACCTAGTCCTATGGGGTGCAACAGGTAATGAAACAAACAGAAGAAACTGAATCCAGAGAATTCATAGGATAAAGATTTCTGATAAAATTGTCTGCGAAGTCCGAAACTAGCCTACACCAACAAAACTACAGAGGATGTAAAGGGAGACATACGACAGACGGCGTTTGCATGTCTAACATTTCTGGAAACCAGTTTCTAAAACATGACAGGGACGAGATATGTGTTCATGGAATGATAAGCTTCTTGCCAGCGTAGATTGTATCTCCTGTAAGACCATTCGCCTCTTTGATCGCATCAATGGATACCTAAGATAAGACGTGCATAACAACAGATTAACAGTTTGCACAGGCAACCTAATAATTGTTTCTTGTCAAATTAACACATACTTGAGCACACAAAACATATTACTTTCCAAAGGTTACCCCACGCAAATGGAATATCGCCCTCTGTTTCATTATACAGATATACAACATGGCATATCGCTGCGATTTGCATTGAAGCAGGCCTTGTGCAAAGAGAGATGCAGATTGCCCTAACCTCCGACGTTTTCTCGGGTTGATGCACTCAAGCATTTCAGAATGAAGTGAATCAAATTCAAGTGTTACGTGTTGTTCTAATAACCAACATTTATCTCCGTTGAGCCGGTTACTTGGATCAACCTTAGTTCAATCACGAACCAGCCACTTCTTGCAGGTGACAAATTCCAAGGTTTTCAAAACATGGCCTTGTTGAATTTCCCAAACATTCAAGGATAAAAGGGCGGGCACTTTACAGAAATGTAGCCATTGAGATACAAAATACACATTTCAAAGTCCGTCTAAAATTTGGCAGCTACTTTTATTTTGGGGTTTCAACATCTATGCAACACATTTCTCACAAACCATATGGTTTAAAATCGTAAACTAAGCAAGGCCGATCTTTTCTTGTCAATACCAGCTGCGCAATTCGGCACCACAAGAATTACCGTATGGATGCAAATTCTCAAAGAAAAATATAAACATAAGAACACCATATCATGTGTAATACCATAACAGTTGAAAGAGTTGAAAAAGTTTACCCCGTGTTCTCTAGAGAGCCCCCAAATAGTGTCTCCCTTCTCGATCTCTATCATTTTATGCCATGACTTCGGCGAGACTTCCACATTTTGGTCCATCCTGGTAATGGTTTTCTGCAATAAAATCCACAAAGCAAATCAATGTCAATGGGCTTGGCATTTAATAAAATCCCCAGAAATAGAATGACCAATGTATCAAAAACTAAATCAGAATATGTAAAGGGTTTTTTGTAAAATACACAAATGATTTGATCACTCAAATAAAAATAAAAATACAAAAATCCACAGACAAATCGAAACAAACAGGGAAATGGGTGACCCCAAAATGTCAAATCGTAAATTGCACGTACCCGAAGAGGAGGGTGTGGTTCCTTGACAGTGATGGGTTGCTGCTGGGGAGGGAGAGGAGGCTGGGACGGAAGCTGAATGGGCTGAGTTGACTCGGCGAGTGGAGGAGTTTATTCATTTCTGTTTTTGTTAAAAGGGTTTAGAGCCTTGAGAATGCTCATAGCGATGCTGGAGAACACCACTAAGCCGGCAGTCTTGACGACGGAGTCGTCGTTGGAATTGCCGTCGTCAGCGGTGGAGCTTGGGTCGGACATTGATGGTTGGCGGGATTTGGAGAGTAATTGAGCGGAGGACGCAGAAGTGGGAAGGGCTTAAGACTTTTTGTTGGGGTTTTGGGGGTTTTCGGTGTCCGGTCGATCTCCTATTTGGCTTTCAAGGAGCATTTTTCTTCGTACCATATTAAGGAAATATTATTATTCCTTTCCTAACCTGGGCTAAAACCCTACAGATCAGGGAAAAGTCATTATAATTATATCCTACCATTTTAGCCTAGGTCAATCCCACTAATTGGGGATCACGGCTTGCATGCATGATTATAGATGTGTATTGATTGTACAACATTGTATATAATACCTTGTACGAAGAATCGTTTGGTAATCGAAGAAATATATTCAAAAGCCATCACGTCTCCTACATTCTTTACATGGTATCAGAGCATAATCTTGGTACCTGTATTCCTAGCCTTCAAACAACATGACAGATCAAACACCACAACAAAATTCTCAAACCCTATCAACCAACACCATAGCAGAAAATCAAACACCAACAAAATTTTCAAGCGACAACAACATCAACCTCGGTATGGATCCATCAAGTCCTTACTATGTCCATCACTCAGATCACCCTGGCCATATGCTAGTTCCCGAAAAATTGAATGGCTCCAACTATCCATCTTGGAGTAAATCCATGATTCATGCACTCACGGCAAAAAAACAAGGTCGGCTTTATTGATGGCTCCATTGAGCCTCCATCAAATATAACAGAGCCAAAAGAATATGCACTCTGGAAACAATGCAATAACATGATTTTATCATGGTTTGCACAGTCCGTGGAGAGCAACCTATCCAAAGGTGTCGTTCACGCCAAAAGTGCTCACCAAGTGTGGGAAAATTTCAAAGAATTATTCTCACAAAAGAATGCGCCTACAATCTATCAACTTCAAAAATCTATTGCCTCTCTTTCACAAGGTACCATGACAGTTTCAACCTATTACACACAACTCAAGGGCCTATGGGATGAACTGGACACCTATCGCACTCCTCCCACATGCAACCAAATGAAACAACACAATGAACAAACGGAAGAAGACCGAATGATGCAATTTCTCATGGGACTCAACGATACATACAGTGGAGTTCGCAGCAATATCCTCATGATGACACCGCTACCAAATGTCTGTCAAGCGTACTCACTCGTTGCTCAAGAAGAGACACAACGCCATATGACGTCGGGAACAACCGATAATTTTTCCATTGCCGCTGCAGTTCAAAGTCGACAGAATGACTCCCTCAATAAACCACATTGTACTCACTGCAACAAAGATGGACATTCGATTGAAAATTGCAGAACATTAAAATACCACTGCAATTATTGTGACAAAAATGGGCATACTGAGGAAAGATGTCGATTTAAAAACGGCACCAACAATTCTAGTGGCTGACAGCACCACAAGGGGCAGCAGCCGCGCAGAAATCAAGGCATCACAAAAGACAGCAGGGCACGTAACTCCTATGCCCATGCTGCCGAGAGACAGCAAGCCGACAATAGCATGCCTCATGTTTCCAACTGGGCCCCATCCTCATCATCATCCAATCCATTGCAGGCCTTTTCTCATGAACAGCTACAACAACTTGCCCATGCTGTGTCCTTGATCAATTCCAACCATGCTTCTGGTAATAACAATGCTTATGCAAATGCTGCAGGTCTGCCTTCTGTTTCTATCCCTTCAATAAATTCTATATTTTCAAAGCCTTGGATTTTGGATAGTGGAGCTACAGATCACATCACTTCTAATTCCACACTTTTCACTAAAACAAATTCATCGCCTACACCCATAGTCAATTTACCCACAGGTTCTACCGCCCCAATCACTTCCACTGGCACAATACAATTTAATTCTGACATCACTTTAGATAATGTTTTATGTGTCCCCTCATTCCGTTTAAACCTCATGTCTGCCAGCAAAGTCACTGATTCTCTAAATTGTTGTGTCATACTATTTCCTACCTTTTGTGTCTTGCAGGACTTGGCTACAGGGAAGATGATTGGCTCGCGTAAACAACATGGTGGTCTTTATTACATGTCCCCAGTGCAGAGGACACCAGTTTCTTGCCAAGTCTCACAACCTTCCAACTTATGGCACATGCGTCTTGGCCATCCTTCTGCTTCTCATCTTAAATTAGTATCTCCATTATTGTCTTCAAATAATTTATCTTTTGATAATAATTGTGGCATTTGTCCTATGGCCAAACAAACCAGACTTCCTTTTTCTTTAAGTTCAATTTCAACTCATGCTGCTTTCGATTTATTACATTGTGATATTTGGGGCCCACACAAAATTCCCACACATTCAGGGGCTAGATTCTTTCTTACCATTGTAGATGATTTTACTAGATGCACACGGATATTTCTTATGCAATTTAAATCTCAAACACAACAACTTTTGCAAACCTTCATATCCTTTGTCCACACACAATTTCATGCCAACATTAAGGCAATCCGGGTTGATAATGGGCTAGAATTTTTATCCATGAAATCATTTTTTCAAACCAATGGCATTGAATATCAACGCACATGTGTTTACACTCCACAACAAAATGGAGTTGTCAAACGCAAACATCGTCACATTCTCACTGTTGCTCGTGCCCTCCGCTTCCAATCCCACTTACCTCTCTCATTTTGGGGTGAATATGGTTTGACAGCTGTCTATCTCATTAACTGTCTCTCATCACCATTACTCTCTAATAAATCACCCTTTGAACTTTTGTACCACCGATCGCCATCACTCACTCATTTGCGGGTTTTTGGTTGCCTCTGTTATGCTACTGTTGTTCGTCACACACACAAATTTGACACTCGTGCCAAACGTTACATTTTTGTTGGCTACCCTCATGGTCAAAAGGGTTATAACCTTTTTGATTTGGATACTCATACATTTTTTGTCAGCCGTGATATACACTTTCACGAAACCACATTTCCCTATGCTTCACATTCCGCACATTCTCCTGAACCACCAGGCCCCACACACCCTCCCCAACCATTAGGCCTGCTGCCTTTTGCCCCACCTGATGACCCAATCACCTCCAGCCCACTAACTGCCCCGACCCCACCTGACTCAGGCCATGTGCCTCCTACATCCCAACCCCACCCTTCCGTGACTACCACCATTGAATCCCCTCCTCCCTCACCCACTTCCGTTGGCCCGTTACCACTTGCCAGCCCACCCTCTCCTGCCAGCCCACGCCTTCATGACAACAGCCCCACTTTTTCTTATCCCAGCACACCCACTCTCGATCCAAGCCCACCTTCTCCTGCTTCCAGACCGACACCACCCCTCCCTTCTCAGCCCACCGTAGCACCTTCCCGACAATCTACCCGTCCTAAGCACCTTCCGACATGGCATAAAGAATACCACATGTCCAACCACGTCAGTCCATCTACCCTGGCGCCTTGTCCTTCAGGTACTCGTTATCCTCTCTCTGATTTCCTCTCATATTCTCGTTTCTCTCCTACCCATTCTGCTTTTCTAGCTAACATCACAGGTTCTACCGAGCCCACTTCCTATGCTCAAGCTATCCAAGATCCTCATTGGCAACAGGCCATACATGTCGAATTAGAAGCTTTGCAACAAAATAACACATGGAGTATGGTTCCACTGCCTCTTGGTCATAAACCCATCGGCTGCAAATGGGTCTACAAAATCAAATATAAGTCCGACGGCACCATTGAGCGATACAAAGCTTGTCTTGTCGTCAAGGGTTATACTCAGGTTGAGGGTGTTGACTATCAAGAAACCTTTTCTCCAACTGCCAAACTCACCACCCTCCGGTGTCTTCTTACTATTGCATCAGCCCGTCATTGGTATATCCACCAATTAGATGTCCAAAATGCCTTCCTTCATGGTGACCTACAAGAAGTGGTTTACATGGAGCCTCCTCCTAGCCTTCGCCGACAAGGGGAGAACATTGTGTGTCGGCTCAACAAATCTCTTTTTGGACTCAAACAGGCTTCAAGAAACTGGTTTTCTACCTTTTCAGAAACCATTTGGAGAGTTGGTTACAATCAATCGAAAGCTGATTACTTTCTCTTCACTAAGGCACAAGGTACTTCATTTACTGTAGTCCTTATATATGTTGATGACATACTTCTCACAGGCAATGATCTTGAAGAAATGAATCACCTTAAAATGTTTCTTCTCAAACGCTTCCGCATCAAAGACCTTGGAGATTTGAAGTATTTCTTAGGCATTGAGTTTTCACGTTCAAAGAAAGGTATTTTCATGTCTCAAAGAAAATACGCACTAGATATTTTGCAAGACTCAAGACTCACAGGTGCACGGCCAGACAAGTTTCCGATGGAACAAAATCTCAAGCTCACCCCCACAGATGGAGAGTTGCTCAATGACCCAACCAAGTACAGAAGATTGATTGGCAGGTTAATTTATCTCACTGTCACAAGGCCGGATATAGTTTACTCCGTCCAAACACTTAGTCAATTCATGCATCAACCTCGAAAAACACATTGGGATGCTGCCTTACGGATCCTTAGATACATCAAAGGTACACCTGGTCAAGGTTTGCTGTTTCCCGCCTCTAACAATCTTGCCTTGAAAGCCTTCTGTGATTTAGATTGGGGAGGTTGTCGTGCCACAAGGAGATCAGTTACTGGATACTGCATTTTTCTTGGAAATTCTCTTATCTCATGGAGATCCAAGAAACAAACCAATGTCTCTAGATCATCAGCAGAAGCCGAATATCGAGCTATGGCCAATACATGCTTGGAGCTAACTTGGTTGCGATATATTTTACAAGATCTAAAGGTACCACAAGTAGCTCCAACACCATTGTACTGTGATAATCAAGCGGCCTTGTACATTGCCGCTAATCCGGTTTTCCATGAACGTACAAAACACATTGAAATTGACTGACATATTGTACGAGAAAAACTGCAAGCTGGAATGATTAGTCCTTCACATGTTCCTACTCGGTTTCAGCTAGCAGATGTGTTTACAAAAGCTTTAGGAAAGGACCAGTTTGTGACTCTACGCGACAAGTTAGGAGTTCACGATATTCACTCTCCAACTTGAGGGGGAGTATTAAGGAAATATTATTATTCCTTTCCTAACCTGGCTAAAACCCTACAGATCAGGGAAAAGTCATTATAATTATATCC